CATTGCATGTTATTTTTGCTGCAACCGTCACACTGACGAGGTCCAGTTGCAGCACTGAACAGGAATTTGTGCGACTTGATGGACCGAAACATTCCTATTCAGATTTAACTTTTTCACATCCCTTTTTATTCCCTTATTTTTTACATAAACACACACACCATCTAAAATTAAAATTACAATACTGCTCACTTCTTCCGATCATCGCAGCCCAGAAGCAGCAACATTCTGGGGTGAGATGGTAATGTTCAGTGTAAGTCAAAGGACATCTCGAAAACAGTAGTCTCTTGCCAGGTGCTTTTTCTCGGAAGAACCGTTGTTTTGGCAGTCTTTTTCCAGATTGAAACAAACGTCAAAATCGCGCCAGCAGGCTGACCAACGGTCAGCAGTGGTCAATCGGCCCAGGCAATTTCAAAATTTGACGAGCAGACTACAGATTAACAATTGCTCCAGGCACAGAGATTATACTGTCTTACATCCAAAATCTCTCATATATTTTTTTCCTGAATCTCATTTTTACCCCTCAAATTTCGCTGGCATACTCCGGTGGCTTTATTCATACTGTAAACGCAGATTCACACAGTGGACACAAAAATTTTGCCTCCACTGCACAGCTAGTGGCTGGCTGACAAACTCCGCGTTTGCCCCCGTTCATTTTTTTTCCCGGAAAAAATACTGTCTCCGTGTGCCACACTTAAATTCGAAATTGGCGAAAAATTCAAATCGTTTGAGTGGTACTTTTCAAAACAAAGAGCCGGAAATACGCTAATGCTTAGGGAAAAAATCCACAAAAAAAGAGTGGAGCACACAACCAACCCTCGAATTGGAACATTTGGACATTTGGGAACGCCTCGAGTCTCCACAAGATCAACACCTTACCTCTGCTCTCTATGTATGCATGGAAATGCGGCAGAGGTCAGATCCTTCTGCTATCCAGCAAACTAACAGCACAAATCCTCCTCCTTTCCAACCATAACACCCTCCCCTTCTCCCTTACGTGGCCTAGGCAACCGCCAAAGGATCATCATCCAAAATGCTACTCAGTGTTTGCCATCTTTCACGCGCGCTCTCTCGAAGGATATTAGAATCGAAATCGGAAGCAAAACAAGTTTCTAGTCTGCATAAATGTCATCTCGTTGAAAAACGATAGACAACGCGCATCAGAAATCCGCAAGAAAGCAAACGACTCTGGAAAACAGGCGCATTTACACTGGACACATGTACCGGTGAATACTGACTGAAGGTATGCAGAGCAGAATTGAAGAGCTTGGCACAACTATATCCGGCACGCGAGGGCATTCCAGTAAAATCGGATTGACCATAGTGAGTGTTCAAACCGACGAAAAAACCGAGTTAGCAATTTTCCCGCCAAAACTTTCACGCGCTCGCGCATGGAGCATAGACATGTGCGAAACATGGTACCGCGTTCTGGGAGCACACACTGGCAAAATTTCAGCGTTAAAGCTTGCTTGTTTGCCGAGTTGAAATACCTAGGTAGATGCACAGACACGCACAGACATGCACACACGCACACACACACCTACACACATACAAACACAGTTATGCCATGGGTCGTCACAATATGTGTTTTTGCATTTGCATATGGGCAAAAACGTATAAAAACCACTCATTGTGGTGAGTAGCTAAACACGAACTTTTTCGGCCTGGTGAGCCGGGTAGCGCTTCGTAGAGTTGCGATGCGATGCAATCGCATGCAAAGTCGCGCAGATCCTCGTCCAACTGTTCGGCGGTCATCAGCAACAGGAAGCAGATTTAGAAATCACAGCGCGAAATGAATGAGGGCGAAGCGAGACGAGGCAAAGTGGTGCTGCAGCTAAGCGAGCCGCACGGATTGGGCTGCTGCTGCAGAGAACACACTCCACGACCGGGCAGTAGATGCTCCTCCGAATTCCACGAAGCACTTCTTTCACCAACAAACTTCGCATATATCCGTCCACGTGCTACTTTTCGTGTGATCTTTTCCCTTAAAGTTGTCCCGATTTACAGTTTTACTCGTTTTAATTCTTCCCAATCGCTTTACTGTAGTATCGCCGTTCGTCGGTTCGTTGCTCGCCCTCGGCCCCTCATCGTTCGGCCATCAGACCGTCTCATAGCACCTTCCACGCACCACTGAAATCCTAAAAAAAAAAAATAATTTTGTATGAGGGACAGGCAGCGCAACCGAAATAAAATACACTGCAACGACAAATCAATCCCCGTGGTTTTCATTATTATATATTACGAGCCCAACAGGCGAATATACAAGCAATGGAAAAAGAGGCAGAAAATCCAATTATACAATATTACTAAAGTGGCCTCCCTTAGTGGGGTAACACTGTTGCCGTGTAATAGTT